AAAAACTAATCAAAGCAATATACATTTTAAGATGTTTGTTAATTACAAAAGAACGGCCTGACCGAAATTTACCAAAAATGAATCAGCATGATTCCCAAATGATTTCTTTCGATCAGATTTTGAATATTTAAAATCGGTTCAGGATTATTTTGCTAAACCTACACATTTTTTTTTGCTTTTTTGCTACTTGTGAAGAAACGGTTCATCCGATGGTCTCGGAAAACTTCAATCATCGAGAGTTCTTATCCAGCTTCATCAAATGTTTTTAAAATTATAGAAATAGATGCACAAACACACATACATATTGTTTTCAATTTTGGTGTCAAGTGACTTAAAATGACTTGAAATATCGAGAAAGCATAAAATTCGGAAATCAGAAATATCGAGAAAGCATAAAATTCGGAAATCAGATTTTCCGGTAAGTACAAACTCCTTTGAGAAATTAATACAGGTCTTCTTACAATTTTGGCGCATAAATTGATTATTAATATTATGGCACTTTATGTATTCCGAGCAAATCATGTTACAATAAGCAAGTTGAAGGATAAGAGACATGGCTTATGCAAAAATACGCTTCATATTTTTTTCTTTTCGTATGATAGAAACGTTCTTCAAAGGTCATTTGAAATTTGGATGAATATATTAGATGTTAATCTATTCAAATTATTCCAACAAATTGATACATCAATTGAAGAATTGAAATTTACCATAAATCGCCACCGAGATTGAAAAATCATACATATGCAAAATGGTTTCGTCACACAGGTTATTTCACGTGTCATATTTACATCTTTGTGAATTGACCGCATTACTGCATAACAACTTTCTTATTGCGACATCGAAAATTTACGAACATGCTATGAGCCATTGCGGATATTAATGCATTAAATAAATTAACTGGACTCAGTGATTGTTTGCAGGGTTCCATACTCAAAGAGTAATTCGATTTATTCGCTCGGTCTATTCGCCTGTCCGTTCACCAGGAGGCATCCCATTTCGATAATTCAATGTTCGATTCGCAAAATAAAAATAATCAATCATCAATATAAATTTATCAATGTGTAATAACAATTGTTTTAGATATTTAAAATAATTATTATAAATGCTGTAAAATTCATCATCGTATTCGGTAGATCTAATATAAGTGCTTATCTTTGGACGACGACTTTTATCTATGTTCATCTACAAAAACTTGGGCTTGCCCGTAGGTACCCACTTCGAGCAGCCTGTTGTCAGGCAGCATTGACAACTATTTTCACTTGGAAATATAGATAGTAATATGTTTTCAAGTGAAAATAGTCCTTCACCCGGCATTGCTGCACCAATACAAATATTCGCCCTATTACAGAAATTGTAATAATAATATATCATATAGAGATGTGACAACTGATTGGGTTGCCATCTGTCAAACAGACTAGAATTCAGTCAAATCAGCAGAACAGCTTATGGGACTATTGGGTTCTGATTGTTGTTCAAAAAATAATTTAATAAATTATAAAAAAAATCTACCAGAACGAAAACAAAGTAATCAAAACCTAGTCGACGCAAGCTATATGCATTTTGAATCACTCTAATCGAATGCGCAGTTCTCTCAAAAACTGCTATTCTTTGAACTTTTAGCTCCGAAACCGCTGGACCTACCTTCACAAAATGTAATCAATTGTTCACTTAATCGATACGATGTTTTGTGAATCATTCTAATCAGATGTGCTTTTCTCTCAAAAACTGATTGTTTTTGCACTTTTTGCTCTATATCCCCGAAAAGGGTGGACCTGCCTTTGCCAAATACTAATCAACATGTTTCCTGTCAATACCAATCGAATGTTTTTTGAATCATTCAAATCGGTTGATCCATGGTCCCGATATCGTGGACGAAAAATTGTATCCAAAACATAGCACATACACATATGCTATATATTTTTTGTAAGGTATCCCAAAATGTTCAGAAAACACTGAAACGTAAAGATATTAAAAAAAATTCATTTTCGATTTTTTTTCCTTTACTATAACTTAGGTACTCTACGGAAAGTTAATAGTATTTGATAATATTTGATTTATATATAAATCTTTTTTTTTACTTCAATTATTATTATCATTTTGTTATTATTATTATCTTATTTAATTATTATGTTTTTAATCATTTCAATTTCAATAACATTTTATATTTTTAGTTATTTGAATTTTTATTTTTTATTTTATATTTTTAGTTATTTGAATTTTTTTTGTGTTTGATTCTACATATTTTTATGAATTTTTGTTTTTAATCTTGTATTGCTATCATATGCCCGGCGTTTCAATGGTAATTGTATTTTAATCAAAATTATCTATTACTACTAGATGTTTTAATAGCAGATTGAAACAAAATGTTTAACAAAAATTAAAATTTAAGGAAAAAAATAATCAAATCAATAATAGGATTAATTTTCATAATTAAAAAGTTCTATAAGTGAAAAATTTCTATTTAACTTCCATTACATTATTAAAAAATTAGAATCTAGAATAGTCAGTATCATAGTTAATATTTGAAAAAATAAAAATATATGCAATGGGTACTGTTATGATTGGTTTATTTTTGTCTTTCAAAATAAAGATTTTGATACTTTCAATAAGTTTGCGTATAAATAGATAAGTTTCAACAATTTTTGAAACGTACAAACATTAATTTTAATTGCAATAGAGCGATTTTGCAATTAATAATGGGAATATGCAACGGACGAGTAAGGTTCATTCTTAACTTTTTTTTTGAAGAAAGTGGGGTTTCGAATGTTTGTTCGAATGTTATAATATTGTAATGATATTTATTAATTATTTATATTATTTAAAAATGCAATAATTTGCCCATGCCGATCCCACTTGTTTCTGTATTTCGAACCTATGTTAAACGCGGAAGTACCAATAACTGGTCCCAAGTGATTGTAATGAAGGTTATATTTCCACACAGGTCTTTAACGTCACGAGAAAGGAATTAATATTATTTATTTAAATGCTTTCAATCAAGAGTTATATATAAATTGAGAGAAATTAATAATATTTTCAATGATAAATTTAAAGTTTAGAAAAACAGAGAAAAATCAATTATAATATGCAAAAATTTTAATGGATATCATGGACTTGCATATAATATTTTCTAAATCAATTATTTTGATTTAACTTTCAATTATCAACTATTTGTGTTTTTATTTATTAAACAAATATATACTATAAAAAGCAATATAATACAGAATACTATATATACAGAATAATGTATAATAAAACCTTGTGTTATTCATATCAACAATAGCAGCTAAAACAAATTAAGGGGGTTGTTCTTTTTTTTACAAAAAATGCAAGGTATTTGTTTTTGTTTTTCTCGAAATGTATTTATCATAGAGATATGCGTTTTTTTTAAACAAAAATTACAAAATCATAGAATATTACGCAATTTTCTTCTTTTTTTTCGCGCCGTCATTTTTTAACCAGGGGGCGCCAAAGTCGGTCTTGCAAAATCGATCTCTTTTGCGGTGCCACAGATAAATCCATTGTGCAACGCCCGAAACAAAAATAAAGAAACTACGTTGAAAAAAAAGTTTTAATCCATTCCCCCTACCAAAGTGAAAAAAAAAGCAAGAAGGAAAAAAAATGGCAGCTATTTTAAAAAAAAAGTGTCAAAAAAGGCCTTTTTTTGGGACGAGAAGATTCGCAAAATTGTTTTGCGTAATGTTATCAAGTTGTTTGAGGTAGGGGAACTAGGTATTGCAGTAGTGAACAAATTAAAAAAAAAATGCAAGTCGATCCGACTTGTAGTTTTTTTTTTAATTTGTGGCACCGCATTGAAAAAAGTCAATTTGAGAAAAACGTATTTAAAGTTTTTAATATAATGTACTAAATATACCATTTAATTTAATGTACGAAATACACCATGGTGTTCAAAGATGCTGACACATTAAAAAGGTCATGTGCATGAGGCAGCTGGCATACAATAGCCACGAAAAAAAACGCTTTCAGAGGATCATACGTATAGAGATATATATATCTATAACTTCGTCAAAAAAATAGATATTGAGATAATTTTTTTTTAAAATAATTCTAAGGTTTTTAGCTTTCATAAAGTCAAAAAATCTCAAAACCGAAATAGAAAAAAATAAAAAAAGAACAACCCTCTTAAGGATTTGTGAATCTTTAGAGAAGAAGAAGTTAATATTGTTATTAATAAAAAACAAGTTTAAGCGGCAATTTTGCCTAAGGTAAGCTACGTGAACTTTCCGAGTTGTCCTAATAAGAAACCAATACGAGTATATTAATTTATGAGTAATTTATAAGTATACCAACATTATTGTAAATAACTATGGCAGATTATTCAATTTTGCACAAAGTTTACAAACATGTTATTTATTTTCGACAAATGGTTTATAAATTGCATAGAGTATTTATTGAAAGTGCGGCCGATTAATCCAAACATTATTTATTTTTTTAGTTAAACCGCTTGTCTCCAATACTTTAGATTAAGACCAAGAACTCTATCATTATACAAAGTTTTATTCAAATTACTAAAAAAAATTCCAAGACAGGTCTTTACCAAAAACTAATCAGAACTTTTCGCAAATATCTTTCAAACAGTTTTTGATTTTCTAAAATCGCTTCAGGATTTTTGGCTAAAACGTAGACGACAGTTTATGACTTTTTTGCTAATTACAAAGAAACGGCTTGGCCGGTCGTTGCGCAAAATCAATCATCAAATGGCATTTTTTTTAAATCTGTGCAGTCACTGCCAAAAATCCGTTAAATACTATAAAATTTAATGGACATCACAAACATGCATGTAATTTTTCTTATGGTAATTCTTTTTAAATTAAAGATTCACTTAGAAAACAAAACTTTTGTATCTGTTTGAAAGGGAGAAAATCAATATATCGAGTTAAAAGAAAATGCAAATATTTTACAACAAAAAACAATATTAAGATAGATTTTTGCGGGCTATCATCAATTATGATAAGATTATGAATTATTTTTTTCTCTTTCAGTATTAATCACTTGTCTACACTCATGCACAACAGCCAAAAGTTTTATAAAATCTACAACGACCACCACTACAACAACAACCGAAATTTCTACAGATGCTGAAAATGATGAGGTAAATTCCAATCATTTACTTATAACATAGCTTGCAATATATTTCTTCGAATAGTCTTTATAAACACAATCATCATTTAATTTAAAAAAATGTTTTGGCGTTCTTCAAAATGTTAAAAAATGTATTTCTATAACAGCAAACAACAGTTGCACCATCAAGTTCGACGAAGCCGCCACTTACAGGTATTCCACAAATTGATTATATCTGGGATCCAAATCTTCCACGTGAGTTAAATGGTTATAATCTGACTGATTATCCATTCCTGGTGACAACTCCTCCCAGTGAACAGATCTCATTTAAATGTAATGGCCTTCACGACGGATTTTATGCTAGCGTCGCATATAAATGTCAGGTAAATAATAAATCAATAAATAAAATTATTGTTCAAATATGAAATGTATACGTTTATAATGTATATCAATCTACAACTGCTATATAAATTGTTAAAGATTATATGTTCTATTTATGAGACTTGGACTAAAAATGAATAAATGTTGCCAATGACTCTTTAAAGACATCAGGAGATCATACGTGACAACATCAATTTCAGTCTTTATTATGGATTTTATACTCAAGAAGTCTAGTCGCAAGAAATCGGCCATCGGCCAAGTCTCACCTATCAAATCTGCCTTCGTGATCGTATTTTCTAATCAGTAGTTGTGCAAAGACGATTTTCTGGTAGCGACTCACTCTTGCATCAAAGTGGTGATTTATAGACTATTTGACAATTCAAAATAATGTAAACAAACTTCAGCCATGGGCTCTGCCAACATATCTTCTACAATTAACCTAGACATACAGTGTGTCGACTCTTCAACATTTATCACTCGGAGTTAAGTTATTGATAATTCTAATTTGTTATTTTAATTTTCAGTTATTTGGAAGCGATTATTTTTATCATTATACATTTCTATAGATTATTTTTAATTTATTTCAACAACGATCAGAACTTACGGGTTTTATGAGCTGTCGTGATGAATTTCTTACAAACTATGTTTGTTTTATTATAGATGGGCAACCCAAACAGTTGTCTCATCTCTATGTGCTGATTTTTTATTATTACAATTATTGTAATAGTGATGACTTTTTATTGGTGCAGCAATGCCGTATTAGGGCTTTTTAGGGAAACATATTGATATCTATATTTCCAAGTGAAAATCGTTGTCACTGCTGCCTGACAACTGGATGCTCGAAATGGGTATCGAACCCGGGACCCCTGATCCAGGTCCAGTCGTTCTAGTCACTTACCTACGAGCGAGCCCCATTTCTATTGATAATGATTAAAAAAATCTTGTAATATGAGTTGTGTGTGGTCCGTTCAGTAACTGTTAACGATGAAACAATCTAAATAATTTTCCAAATTGTTGTTTTGTGCTTAAAAGAAGCAAAAAAGAAACACAAAAAATAAACCACTCTATAATTATCCTATGGAAGAGGAAAAAAGATCAGATATTCAAGTGTACAATATATCTTTCTATTGTAATCAAACCCTTAAAACATATAAACAAATAAATAAAATATATTAATGTATGATTTTTTGAAACTACGGACAGAATTATTGACCCAGTTTAGTAATTGATAATATCAAGTAATATTTTACTCGTTCCAGTGATCGATCACGATTTGTTTGCATTCCTTGGGTGTGTTTACTTATTTTCATAGTAAGTGGATGGTCGATATAAATTATTTATTATTTATATATATATATATATATATATACATACAGTGGTGTTGAGCTAATTTTTTTTTTGCCGGAACGCTAAAATAAAAAAATCGGTTCTCATGTTTATTTCGGTTCCCTTCGAAAATGCAAGAAACAAAAATCATTACCATTTTGTGCACCTATATATATATGTCTATTACAATAATAGGAACGTTCAATAAAAATTAGTTACATTATAATTTATTAAATTCACTTATTAAATCACTTTCTGTATGTAGCGATTCTTTTTCACCATTGTATATATATATATATATATATATATATATATATATATATATTAGGGTGGTCCTTAAAATGGTTATTTTCGAATTTCCTTACTCCCAGGGGCTCAAATGGTTCCAAATACATAAAAAACAATTCTCTGAAAGTTTTAGCTCTTAATATTAACGTTTAGATAGAGCGCAATTCAATCAAAGTTTTGTATGGAAATAGCATGGAGAAATTTTCAAAAATTTTAAAAATGTTTTTTAGATGTAATTTAGCGAACAAATGAATGAATAAAACTCATTCATTTGTCGCTAAGTTATACCTAAAACAATTTTTTTCAATTTTCAAAATTTTTTCCATGCTCTTTCCATTATTTCTTAATTCACTTAATTAACTTCTAAATCTTTGCCTTTTATTTGATGTATTGCCCTTGAAGAACTTACTCATATATATATATATATATATATATATATATAAACATTTATTTTTAATTTCAGCTATACCACCACTGCCTGTATGGAACGCGTTACGACTTTCTATGTGCAAATTTCACAGCATTTGACCAAAAAACATTCATATGTCATTTTGCTTCAGAAGTAGACTGTGCTAATTCACACAAATATTGGGGCAGGTAAATTCTCTATCGTTCTTAATTTATAATATATACCTAACGGATAATTAATGTTCTTATAAGTAAATAGCTGCAGTTACTGAATTTATAAGAATCTCTTTTGACTGCACTAAAATTGAATTATCACAATGAAAAATATGAACAATAAGTCATATATATATATGACATATATATATATATATATATATATATATATATATATGTCATATATATATAGTGTGTGCGTGTGTATATAGATATATATATATATATATATATATATATATATATATATGGTATATATATGGTAAATATATTGGTAAACACGATACAATGGTATATACAATACGCATATTAAATCGTATATATTGGTAAATACAATACTCATATTAAATGTCAAATTGCGAAATACTAGCTCACCATTTGAAATAATTAGTTATGCAATTTGAACATTATAAAAAAATGTTATCAATAAATTTGCCAATAATACTTCAAAGAATGAATGAAGTTTATCAATTATACATAATTGTGAATAAAACAAACTTTAAGTATCTACATACTTTACATAAAACTTTAAAAATAAGAAACTAATATTTTAAAAGTATGTATCTACATAAAATACATTTTTGTATCCCTTTTTGAACACAACATCAATTACAATTATCCTAATATACAAGATTAAAAATTGCTTCAATCGTAATATACTAATGTAAAATAAAAAATCATAGCGCTGTCAAATTAGTTTCCTCTTTGAATTAACAGAAATTATAACTAATTAAATTAACTCAAATAATAAAGGCTTTGTGTAAAAACTATTTTTGCATACTAAAAGTTTAAAAATTGCATTAATCTATTTAAGAAATGATGCGTTGTATAAGGCAACAACCACAACATCTACAACGACGACAACTACTCCGGCTCCTGCAACGCAACCTGCTCCAAGACCAACTAGTCGAAGGCGAAGACCGCTAAGGTGGAGGTATTTATTATAAGAAAATTTTATTTTCAAAGATAGGATAGATTCTTATTTTTATTATATTAAATAATAATTTATCGAATTGAGAGTCTAGCTTATGTATAAGAATAGATATATAGTTGTGGAACAGATGTAGATGCTGATTTTAGAATATATTTGAAGACTGTTTTCATCTGTTTTCAAAACTTTTTCCTTCATATTATTACTACTACTAAAATCTATAAACCTTGTATATTGTGAATTCTGATTTGAATTTCTAATTTTAGACGTCCACAGCCGTATGACTATTACTACGATGACGATTATTCGGATAGTGATATTTATGATGATCAACAACGAGATATTGGTCGAAGACGGAAAAGACCACTTCACAATCCATCGCGACTTCCAGCTCAGTATGACGACTATGATGACAGATATGATTATCGCCGTGACTACGATGATTATGATAATCCTAGGAGCAAACCTTACGACAGACCCAGAGGTTACACGCCGCGCAGGAGACCAGGATCCAGAGCACAAGGAAGAAAACAGCCCACCCCACAAGCACCACAGGAAACCTTAGTTCAGCCATCCCAGAAATCCAAAACATCATCGGTTTACGATAGACCGCGTATGCCTCCAAAGATTCGGCGACCGGTGCCTCTGAATATACGGGATAAATATGACTATAAACCAAATACATCTGATGCCTCACCAACACAATCAGATGCTGAATATAGTGACTATGAGGAGGAAGAAGAAGTAGTTGTTCCGCCACGTATTAAGACTGAAACTCAAGCAAAAGTTCCCCAGAAAAAGGTGCATACACCGCCACCTCCAGTAGTTACTGAACGTCCTTTGGCTAAACAACCGAGCTTTGATGACAGACCAGGACCAGTAAAGTCGTTGAGACGCCCTGCCCAAATTGACAGACATCGGAGACCAGTTTTAGACTCATACGATTATGGATATAAGCAAGTACAAAGGGATCCCGTGGAATCGAGACCGCGTCACGAATTGCGCCGGCCGGTATCCAGCAGCACTGCCCAACCCCTAGATGTATCAGATGATGAGTATTACGATGATGAAGATTACGAGGCAGTTGAACCACAACCAAAACGACTAACGAATTTAACCACAAATTCAAGGCGGGAGCCAGTTTTACCACCAAAATCAACGAGACCTTTATTACGAGTTGTCAAAAGGCCATTTTTACCTAGTAGGGGCGGCAGTCCATATTTGCCAAGAGGATTGCAACCAATTGGAAGAAAAGTCAAAATTGAATCACAGTCGCCGGTCGATTACGAAGCAGATAATATTGAAACAACAACTGGATATTATGAAAAAAACTTTCAACGTAAATCAAAAGATGAACAACATCGACGTAAACAACCAGTAGAGCCAATAGTATATCAACAACAAGAATATTTAAGTGATTCCTTGAAAGCTGGTAAACCTTCAGAAGATAGACCACATATTAGACAAAATTTTGCAGATATAAATGAAAATGAATACGACGTCACTCTGAATGATGCCTTAAATCCTACTTTACCAAATCTTGCGCCATTGAGGAATTCTCCAAGTGGATTTGTTCCTAAACTACAATCTGCAGTATATTCTGATAGAAATGGACAAAGTTACCGTGGACAAACATATTACTCAGAGCCAAGCGCTTCAAATATACACTTTCTGCGCACTCCCATCGATAGATCAGCTTACCAATGATGTTTAGTAGACATAAGCTAATATTTTATAATTGAATACATTTTATTTTTATATATTTGTAATAATAATAGATCCATTCCCGTAAGATCATTTCTTCTGGGCGAATTACATTATTATGTTTTAAAGTAACATAAATTAATCAAATAGATGTTATCAAAAATCTAACTGTCTTGAAATGAGATGCAGGAAATAAAGCTCTTAATTCAAAATTCGACAAATGTAAAAAAAAATTAAAACATGAAGCAGAGTAATGATAAAATAACTCCAAAAATTGAATCGATAATGTGTTTCGATCTCGGTTAATAGATTTTTGAGAACGTCTTAATGGTTTCTATGTTTGTGCAATAGAATGATATATATTATATTGCAATACCAAAAATGTTAAAATTATGAGTATTTGTGAATATTAGAAATTGATATAAACATGTAAACAGAAAATCCAAATTGTACAGCTCTACACGATTTTGTTCATAAAGATTAAATATTAACCCGAGTGTTTTTTTTTACATAATGCTATATTTTTATTTCAAGTCTGGGCCGCAGTTTAATTTTTTAGCTCATATGAGTTTATTTATAATATGACAGTTATATGTAATACATATTATGTATGATATACAGTTAGATCATTACAGATATAATATCTAACTTATATTAACTGAAAAATTGAATATATATGACATAATTGAATTAAGAATACTATTTAATATCATACAGTCTCGCAGCACATTGCATGTAAAAATCGGAAACGATATTGATATAAGAAATATTAAGGCTTATGTTTTCACTAAAATCTTCTATAATTTTTAAAATACATCCGATAAATATGAATAAAATATTTGAACAGTGTTTATAAAATTATATGATCTCAAATATATATATATATATGAATAGCTATTCTTATTTCAAACAATATTCATTTCTGATTTATTATTATTTACAAACACTATTAAAAGACAAATTCTACGGTTGTGATATATTTATTTTTTACGAGCCCTATTACAAGGCAATCCAACAGTAACATAAGCCCTACTGATTTTGATTAATATAAAAAATATTGTGATATGTTCCAGCAAAAGTTATTTTGCTGAAGCTTATTATTTTAAGCTATATTTTAAAGTAAAAACGCTTATCACTATAGCTTGATAACATAATTCGGACTTTACTGAATTGGTTGCAAGACCGAAACTTTCACGATTGCACAACGAAAGCTAGACGGCTTATATTTGTAAAATAAAACGAAATTTTTAAATCAAAAGAATCTGAAATATATTACCAAAGTTTGTACATAAGACTTAACCTTTCCATTCTTAGTAGTTTTTCTTATATTAAATTTATGAAAGTGATACGAATTCTCCAACAATTTTACCATTTAATCTTAAAAGAATATTATGCGACGTTTCAAGCCACTCTCAATAGTTTGAGATCAAATTTAGAAAAATTTGCCATTTTTTTAGTTTTTGTCGACGTTTTATTAAAAACGACTGAATCAGTTTTTGAAAATTTAAAAGTCATTTAATGAAGCCTTATAACCACTAGCGTTGGTAAGTGTTTTGTAAAAAACGGCCAAGCTATTTCTTTAGAATTAACGTGACCCAAGGGGGCCCCGGGCGAGAAAACTCAAAGATATATTTTGACATTGTACATGAATTTTATTTCACTTGGATACAACATTTTATATTTTTTTAAGTTCTCCTTAAAGTCTAAAGAGAGTTAATCATTAAGTGTTAAGGCTTGTATCGAATATTCGGTAACTATTCGGTATTTCGCACATTCGTCACCTTTTTTAATATTCGGCCGAATGCCGAATAGTTAAAATGAAAGGAAATGCCGCCGCTTTGCGAAAGTATTTTGTTATATCTTTTATGAGATAAAGAGCTTGCGATGAATCTGCATTTGCAAATCTTTAGTTTTGATAATATGATGTGAAGAAATAAATTCATTTTTGTATATATAACAATTTAAACTTTATCGGAATTCTTTTGGACATAGCATAAAAAGATGGAATATTTTATCATGATTTAAATCTAATAACAATGGTTAATCATCAATTTCAATAACATTAAAAATATTTCAGCCTACTGCATATGCAGGACTGATGCCATTTTTGCTTTACAAGTTTGTTTTGTGGAAGTCTAAAATGAAACTATTTCCCATAAGAAGAAGTTTGCAAACTACACTTACTTGTTATTGGTTTTTCATTGTAATATCCTACAAAATATTGATGCAGCATCTAAAGCGCTATAATCTAAAGCCAGCGATCTCTCGAATTCTGTAAATATTTAAGGGGGTTGTTCTTTTTTATTTTTCTTTGTTTCGGTTTTGAGATTTTTTGATATTATGAAAGCAAAAAACCTTAGAATTATTTTTAAAAAAAAGATCATCTCAATATCTATTTTTTGACGAAGTTATAGATATATTTATCTCTATATGTATGATCCTCTGAAAGCGTTTTTTTATCACGTGAGCTATTATATGCCAGCTGCCTCTTTTCATTATAATACCTCATGCACATGACCTTTTTAATGTGTCAGCATCTTTGAACACCATGGTGTATTTAGTACATTAAATTAAATGGTGTATTTAGTACATTATATTAAAAACTTTAAATACGTTTTTTTCAAATTGACTTTTTTCAATGCGGTGCCACAAATTAAAAAAAAACTACAAGTCGGATCGACTTGCATTTTTTTTTAATTTGTTCACCACTGCAATACCGAGTCCTCCTACCTCAAACAACTTGATAACATTACGCAAAAAAATTTTGCGAAGCTTCTCGCCCCAAAAAAAGGCCTTTTTTTGACACTTTTTTTTCTAAATAGTTGCCATTTTTTTCCTTCTTGCTTTTTTTTTTTATTTTGGTAGGGGGACTGGATTCAAACTTCTTCTTCAACGTAGTTTCTTTTTTTTCGGGCGATGCGCAACAGATTTATCTGTGGCACCGCAAAAGAGATGGATATTGCAAGACCGACTTTGGCACCCCGTGGTTAAAAAATGACGGCGCAAAAAAAGAAGAAAATCACGTAATATTCTATGACTTTGTAATTTTTGTTTAAAAAAAACCGCGTGTCTCTATGATAAATACATTTCGAGAAAAACAAACAAAAAAAGAACAACCCCCTTAAAGATTTGTTAAGAAGAAATAAAAAAGTATCGGCATAAATTTGAAAATTCAAAATTGTAGCAGAATAATGATGTTTCAACCCTAATTTTTTTAAACTCGTCAACTGATTTATTAAATAAAAGCTATAAAATATGTAAAATAAAAGATAAACATTAACATATTTGTTTCACCTTTACTACAATTACAAGATATATACACGAGCATTAAAGACAGGACACCTACCACAAAATGAAAAGACAACTTTTACAAAATAAACTACTTGAACTGTGATTCATCTTATATTGGGCAAATTTGCCAAAATTTAGGCAGATCGTCGCACAAAGCAAACTTTTGGCAAACGATAGTCCTGATTGACATACATCAAATGGCTTTTAAATTTCTGAAATCGGTTCAGGCGTTTTTGAGCAATTGTCTAATTTCGACAAATGCCAAAAAAACGATACTAATTTTTGCAAACTTTATAGAATTTTTAAAATTAAACGACTTGTAGTAGGACCATATTATTTTAGTATGATCTATAAGACTATGTATCTACCATCAAAAAAAATATAAAAATCGTCGAAAAAAAATGTTTAACACTTTATTACAAGAAAATGGGCCAGTCGATCTTTACCAAAAACCAATCAGGTCGATTCCCAAACAATATCTTTCGAATGGTTTTTAAATTTTCAAAATTGATTCAGAATTGCGGGCTAAAACGTGGACGAAAAATTTTTCACTTTTCTGCTATTTATAAAGAAACGGCTTGGCCGATCGTCGCATAAAACTGACAAACAATGGTCGTCATCGAGATACACCAAATGGCTTTTAAATTTTTGAAATCGGTCCAATCATTTTTGAGAAATCGTTGATTTACAGCAAAAAATCTGTTCACATACACGTATGTACACGCACATACTTTTTCCAAATTTGGTCTCATTCGATTCAGAATGGATTGAAACGTCGAGAAAACATAAAAATAACGAATCGGATTTTTTTATGAAAACAAACTTTTTCTTCGGAATGTTAAATACATTGTTGTTTAGTAATAAATTTATGAGTTATGTTTCTAAATATATATTTATAAATACATACATCGTATGTGTTTGTAAATATATAAATTCGATTCATAAAGATAACATTCTTTTATTCATCATTAGTAGATATTGTTTTGTTAATTATTTACATGTGATGCACTGAAGATGACCACTATAGAGACTGAACGTATGAAAAATTAAACCTAAAATAGTTTTTTTTTCAATAATTATATGAATGCCTGTATAAAAACTTATTTGATTTTATATAATTTTTGGAATAATAACTAAAGAGACTGGAATTTCTGACCAGATAGTTAAAATAGAACTAAAATATCAATATTGGTAATTATAAATTCACAAAACGGTCCATTATTAACGGTAACGAGATGAATTGTAAACGATGAAAGTCTAAATCTAAAATAGAACGAAAGGTCACAATTGTTCTATAATAAAGAATGGTTTTAAAGTCATTTTCTATCAAACATTTTCTTGTTGGAAACAAATATACATACATGCCATAAAATATATTAACGACCCTTACTGTCATTGATAAATAAAAACCTAGTCGTTGAGGTTATACTTACATAAACAAACAATCAAACACGAATACACTTTGAATCCTTTTCAACACTTGATATTCACTATAAAAATATAATTACAAAAATAATTTGATAATTATAAAATTCTTAAAATATAATGTAACACAAAGATTTTTGTAAGTTTGTAGCAATACTTATTCTCGCGTGTAGGAAATTGCGGTAAATATAACATTAGCAAGTTGGCATCGCAAACATCGGATCAGTAATAAAAAAGACGTTTCTTCTCTAAAGAAAGTTAATCCTTAAATTAATCTTTCTTTCTAA